AAGTGGGCTTGGTTCTCTTACCTTTTGGAAAACTGTATTCCTGAACTGAATAGAATAGGTGCTCCCCGAATTGTTCTCGGGAGAAAAAGAGCGGGTATCACGTATCTTGAAAAGTGACATTATGTCGATTTTTGTTTGACATTATGCTGGTTTTTTTGACATTATGTAGGTTTTTATACAAGATATTAACTTAGAACTTAGTTGTACGTGTTGCCTAAACGTCATGAGGCTTGCTATCAATCTTTGACTCTGATGTGATGTAAAATCTGCTTTTGCGGTGGCATTACTGGAGGTCTAAGCTGTAAGTTGTATGCGTTGATGATAATTACATTGGGTTCATGTGTCAAATACACTTAATTGAGATTCAAAGCTAGAAATTAGTTGCGTATCCACTTTTGCTTATCCATTCTGGAAATTAAATATACAAATTTGCTGAATTTCAAAAACGAGAGAGATAAGAAATAATTATATTCACTGAACAGTGTCGAATTACACGCCATATACATGCTAACAGTAATTACACACAACGCGGTCGTGGTGATGATTTCCCGTAATTCTCCCCAGTTTTTCGTAATTTACAACTTTGAACATAACCTCTCTTTAGAAAGCACAACATAAAAATAACCCGTCGGGCACAGCTAATAGATATAAGACTTCACTGGCAGCATATTCAGTAATGATTTTCTCACACAGCAAATATCACTGATTTTATACACATGCAGACCAATACACATAATCATCCAGATGCGATCTTGCTCTCCAACCAACTTTCTTCTCAGAGATAAAAACTACAGACAAGAACCATTCGGTCCCACAAAACATATGCAACCAATAATGCGTGTAGTTTAGTTGACTAATTCCTCCTTAGATGGACGTTTACAACGATCCTAGTGAGCAAACATGGAATGACTGTTTGCGCCATAAAAACTACCTAGTTTGCAAGATGACATCTTATAGGTTTTTTTTTTTTGACATTTTATAGGTCTTTTACATGATACCCGTGCAGATGATTCGCCAATGTTCATCAATCTCATCTCTATAGACAGAGTCAACGCTCAGCGACATGAAGAAGCCAGGAAGCTATTGCTTTGCCGAAATGTAATGCATTCACACCTTGCAACTGTCAGATTATCAAGGTTCTTCGCAAAGAAAGAACCACGCCCACTTTTTCTCAGTGATTCGATTCCTTCATTTTCAAGAATAGGGGTTAGTCTAATCATATTAGCAAATTTTCCCGAAATAATTGTAAGGTCTGCTTTTATTGATGCAAGTTGTTCGAAGGGGTATTTAAAATATGGACGCATAAAAAGGGTATACCAATTTTTGTGGGAAAACTTTTTATTTGATAACAATGAATGAGAAAACGCGTTTTTTGATATTCAATCGAAAGTGTTGACAGGAACGGAAAAACTTTTGATGCAAGATTTTTAAGTATTTTTGAGATATACAAAATGAGACCACACGTAAAAAGATCCGACTATTAGCAAAAATGTTATGACCGAAAAACGAGGCAAAATGCAGGTTTTGGCACTTGTTGGTAATGCGACGATAATTTCACGGAACTACTTGAGATTCTCCAAATCCGTAGGATTTATACTTCTAAACAACAAAAAAATTGAAGTATATTGATCAAGTAGTTTTTTGAGGATTTCTAATTGTTTATCCCAAAACACCACAACTAACAATTATCACTGCTATTAGAGTTGCAAGAATGATTATACAGCATTCCTTACACAGCATTGTGTACTGTAAGAACATTGGCAAAACCCTCTTAGAATAGCTACACAAGCGGAATGGGCAAACCTAATAGGACACTTCAGTCATTTAAGAGGTTGTATAAGGGCTGCAGATAACAGTTATACAACAAAAGTGTAAGCCTCTTGCAGCCGCTATAGGATATTTGCGTCAGTGCAAGATTCAGTTTTTGTCAACTATACAACTATTATGTTACGTGACTCTACTTTATTGCAACCAAACTATTTCTTATAGTATAGAAAAAGTGAAGAATATATGACTAACATATTACAGTCATCTTGTTTACTTACATATCGGCCATTGTGAATTTCATAGACAGGTATATGATAAACTTCTACACTGTGATATAGTGCTATTGAATTACTTGCGCAGCAAATTTTATTGTGATTATCGTGCAAAGTAGTTACGCAATTTCTACGGGCTTCGTATTTGATTCATATTTTCATAATGATCAAAAGTATGTCTAGATTTTTAAGATGGAAAACTGACCTTATCTGCGTTAAATCTTCCACAAATCCTATATTTAGACACAATTACACTAATGTTTATCACTTTATATCTGTAATTTCGAACTGAAACATAATTATTTAATATTAAATAGAGGAATACATGTTTGCCCAACATGGCGGGTGGTTGTGTATAATCATGGCATCGTCCATGTTGTCTTTAGTTTATTAGAATATTTTGGTGTTGCCTGTAGGTGTTATACAACAATTTGACAAATGTCTGAAATGAAATATACCGACAGATTCGAATGATTTACCCAGAATTTGTACCAGATCTATATCTTCTATTTGAACAGTTGATAAAACCTTTTGAACCCATATGCATGCGTTGTTTGTCTTAAAACATTGGTTATGGCATTTTAACAAAAAGATGACAGCAGAAAGTTAGGTTATGGTGAAGTTGTATACCAGTATATTTAACAACAAATGTATGCCGAGCACAGCAATTCTGTACTACAAAAGTTGTAATATTGTTGCATATGTACAACCTTCAACAGTTACTAAACAACAGTTGTATAAGTGCTTCCGTCGGGAGCAATTTGTTGGCTAAAGTAGTAAATTTGCACAGCAAAACAACAATGCTCGGGTTTGTTTTATAAACGTTACCATGGATGCCACAACACAACCATTTTGACTAACGTGCAAATATGCCATATAAAATAGTTGTATAAACAGTTAAAAATTTGTCCTATAAGGTGTTGTATAACTATGCTATAAGAATATTCTAAACACGTCATTTTAGAGCAAATATATTGCAGAAAGCAAATTTGCATTCCACACAACATTAAGCCAGCATTTTGGTGTTCAGGCAACAACAATAGAGAGCTTTTATGGCTGAACGGTTCTTTTACCAAAAGCTTATAGCACTAATTTGCTAGTTGGGACCTGTTTTCCGGCCATCACTACTAGCTTATTCATTATTCGTTCAAAGAATATTCATTAGCAAAATACACGTGTTTACCTTGCCGATATGACAAACCATTTATAAAGATAAATGTTATTTTTATGCGAAAAACAAAGAATACGTTTTTCTTCAGAAGAAAAAACGTAATCCATCCTTTTTTGCATAAAAATAACATTTATCTTCAGGAATGGTTTGCGATTCCTATCGGCAAGGTAAGCTAGTGTATTTTTCTATAAAATGCCCTTTGAGGTAATCCTGTGTATTGCTCAATAAACTAGTAGTGATGGCTCGAAAAGAGGTGTTTTGAGATAAACAATTAGAAATTCTCAAAAACTACTTGACCAATCTACTCCATTTTTGTTGTGGTTACTTAGAAGTACAAATCCTACGAATTTGAAGAATTTCAAATATCTGCGCGAAACAATCGTCGTATTACCAACACATGCCAAAACTTGCAACTTGCCTCGGTTTTCGGCCATAACTCTTTTACTATTAGTGCGATCTTTTTACGTGTGGTCTCACTCTGCATTTCTCATAAATACCTAAAAATCTTATTTGAAGAGTTTTTTCATTCCTGCCAACACTTTCGATTGAATCCCAAAAAACACGTTTTCTCATTCTTTGTTGTCGAATAAAAGTTTTCGCACAAAAATTGGTGTACCCATTTTATGCGTCCAAAATCTAAATACCCCCTTAAACAACTTGCATCAATAAAACCAGACTTTACAATTATTTCGCAAGCCAGCGGTGTTTTCGTCTTATATGATTAGACTAATCTGTGTTTAGAACACTGGACTCGAGAACAACTAACATAATAATTAAAGTACGAATATTAACAACAATAATTTCAATAAATTAAGTATTTTTTGAGAATTGTCACAAAATTTTTAATGAATGTCCATTCTTTACACCGATTATTATTATATGTTTTTATTGCATCAATGACAGGGTTATTTAATTCTATATTCAAGGGGTATCAAATGAAAAATTAATACTTCGGTTGGATTTTAACGATTTTGGTCATGTTGAACATAAAGCGAACTGCAGATGGACATAACATCACTCCAATGGTTGATCCAAAAAGACACTTCGCTGAAATATTGAACCACGACCAAGTGAGATCGTGGGAGCACATGCAAGGATCAAGGGCTTATCTGTCGATTCGGCGAAATGTCATTTCTCGACCATGTGGGTAAGCGATGTATGCTTTGACGTATCACTATCAACGAAACTGTGTCCTTAAGCAAACATGCCTGACCGATAGTTCAGTATAGCCCTCTTGGATATTACGAATTTTATGTGAAAAATTACAAATGTAACTATTAGATGATTATTAATGTTTTCTGGGGTGCAGTCTGCCATTATGATGCGTATGGTATCCTCAAGACGCGGGTGGTATTTCTTCTTTAATAGACTTTGTTGTACGTGCATTCAGATCGTTATTAGTATAGGGTAGTATGAAAATAACGGAGAGTGGACTGTAAAAAACTGCAACCTTAACGTGTAAAACAACTTAACCTGTGGTCTCCGGTCCATCTTTCTTATACAGGCCAATGAAAGAAACATCGCCCGTCGAAGAACAATATACTTTTCTGGCGTTTTTGCAGCACTTTCCAAAGTACAAATCAAACAACAGCTTTTGTGGTTTCACGTATTGGTCAGTATACGATGAATGGGATAGGAATTCTAAGCTCCTTTTCCCCTAAGAAAAAACGCTGCACTGGAAATATTCGGAGTGCCTAGTGTAGCCTGTATCAAAGATTTGTGCAACCTCTATTTGTTCACAGGTATTACAGTAATTCTAATATGTAGTATCATGTTTTCTATTTGATTACCTGTCTGCGGTTGCAATTCGATGAGCAGGTTCCACATTTCTTTTGTCGCTTGCGTGTAATAGCCAATTTCAGCATTCGGATGCAGTCCAAAAACCTCAGGACTATTGGTGAGCGGTAGCTGGTCAATGGATGCTAAAAAGGTCACATAGTCAACAGCTTGATTCGAGTTTCTACATCCTGGAGACTGATTCTAAATGAATATCGACCGTTGAAATCAATTTCGATGTCGCTTCTCGCCATACATATAAACCGCAGGGATAATTCAGACACCTGATCTCTTATAGTCAAATCAGCTTGGCAGTGTCAAAGTTATCATAATGGATCAAATATACTAAGTGACATATAAATCCGAACACCCAGTTTAAATGGTTTTATTTTAATAAAAGTTGGTGAATGTATTTATCTTACTGTAAGTAAGTAAGTAGTAAGTGAAAACATTTTCAGCCTTATCAGTTGGACATTCCGGTTTTTATACTGCTTTTTTTTAATTCACTAACGCTCTAAAAATGAATATTTCAGCCGCAGTAAAGAATCAACGTTGGCGGATTTTGGTTCTTGACATCCTTTACGATCGGTTACGATGCCTAGAGTACGGAGACCTGTACGATTTCGTCAACTTAGTGAGTTTGATAGGGGCCGTATAGTGGGACTTCGGGAAGCTGGACCTTCTTTTCGGGCAATTGCAGTTAGAGTGCAAAGAAGTGTAGACACTGTGGTTAGGTGTTGTCAGGCATGGCTTCGAGAAGGCCGTACGCAAAGAGCAAGGGGCACTGGACGCCGCCGTAGAACAACAGACCGTGAAGATCGCCGCCTAAGATTATTGGCCTTAAGGGACCGTTTCTCCACTACCAGGTCCATTGCAAATGAATGGTTTGCAGAACACGGAAGACCTATTGGCATGCGAAGTGTTTACCGACGAATGAGAAGTTTTGGCTTGTTTTCATACCGGCCACACTGGGTCCTCCCTTTAACTCAAGAACACCGACGTAATCGCCTTGAGTGGCGCAGACAACGGTCACTCTGAGATCAGGAATGGAACAGTATTGTCTTTAGTGACGAGTCTCGATTTTGTTTAGGCATGCACGATGGTCGTGCCAGGGTTAGAAGGCGACGTGGTGAAAGGAGGAATCCACAGTTTTTCGTTGAAAGACATGTTCACCACACTGTTGGAGTTATGGTTTGGGGTGCTATAGCCTATGGTTCCAGGTCACCTTTAATCTTCATCAGAGGTAACATGAACGCGCGGCGTTATATCCACGAAGTTCTAGAACCCCATCTTTTACCCTATCTTGACAGCCTGACAGATCCAACTTTCCAACAAGATAATGCCCGACCACATGTTGCAAGAGTCACAATAGACTTCTTTCAACATAAGGATGTCACATTGTTTCCATGGCCACCAAGATCTCCCGACTTATCCCCAATTGAGCACGTGTGGGATATGATGGGTAGGAGATTGCTCAATTTGCAACGTCCTCCTCAGACTCTAGAAGCACTTCGAGAGGAGTTGGTGGTTGTCTGGAATGAGATACCACAGGAGGACATTGACCACCTGATCAGAAGCATGCATAGGCGCGTTGGAGAATGCGTAGCACATTTGGGTGCATCCACACATTATTAAAGGTCAAAGGGCTTTAAAGCAGTGCAATCATTTTGAAATTTTTATCATTTACTTATTATGCTTCATTAAGTACTTATACAAAATTTTATTAAAATAAAACCATTTAAACTGGGCGTTCGGATTTACATGTCACTTAGTATATATGACCGCAAGGTGCTATCGAAATTAATTTCAATGGTCTGAGCTACTAGTAGCCAATCACAATGCGGCCCTAAAACCATCACGAGAACCTATTGGCTAGATTCATAACGCTTCTGGGATAGTTCTGCATTCATTCGCTTCCAAGAGATCTGCTACAACTAATGTTAATAATAGTTACTTAATACATATCAGAAGCTCTTCATGACAGTAGCCATGTAGTCGTAATATACAGGGTGGCCCATTGAAAAGGTTCCCCCCTATTTGTGACTCTCCTGGTATATTTCGGGAAAAACTCATCAGCTTTGATTTCTAGGGGAGGTATTTTCACTTACGAGTCCCATCCCACTTCAGTTGGCCCAACTATTAAAATATTAGTTTTTTTCTTATCAAACACAAATAATAAAAATGTAGCAGGGTGTGATAGGTTTAAAATATTAACAATGTATATTTTAATAATATATAGTAGAAAACACCAACTTTATCACTCCCGAATCAAATTTGCAGTATAAAAATAACACATGTTGCAATTACAACATATCAACCTATTTTTATTTCAATGCAAAATATACTAAGTGACATATAAATCCGAACACCCAGTTTAAATGGTTTTATTTTAATAAAAGTTGGTGAATGTATTTATCTTACTGTAAACAACAAGTGCAAAAATGTTCAGCCTTATCGGTTGGACATTCCGGTTTTTATACTGCTTTTTTTTAATTCACTAACGCTCTAACGGTTACGATGCCTAGAGTACGGAGACATGTACGATTTCGTCAACTTAGTGAGTTTGATAGGGGCCGTATAGTGGGACTTCGGGAAGCTGGACTTTCTTTTCGGGCAATTGCAGTTAGAGTGCAAAGAAGTGTAGATACTGTGGTTAGGTATTGTCAGGCATGGCTTCGAGAAGGCCGTACGCAAAGAGCAAGGGGCACTGGACGCCGCCGTAGAATAACAGACCGTGAAGATCGCCGCCTAAGATTATTGGCCTTAAGGGACCGTTTCTCCACTACCAGGTCCATTGCAAATGAATGGTTTGCAGAACACGGAAGACCTATTGGCATGCGAAGTGTTTACCGACGAATGAGAAGTTTTGGCTTGTTTTCATACCGGCCACACTGGGTCCTCCCTTTAACTCGAGAACACCGACGTAATCGCCTTGAGTGGTGCAGACAACGGTCACTCTGGGATCAGGAATGGAACAGTATTGTCTTTAGTGACGAGTCTCGATCTTGTTTAGGCATACACGATGGTCGTGCCAGGGTTAGAAGGCGACGTGGTGAAAGGAGGAATCCACAGTTTTTTGTTGAAAGACATGTTCATCACCCTGTTGGAGTTATGGCAGATCCAACTTTCCAACAAGATAATGCCCGACCACATGTTGCAAGAGTCACAATAGACTTCTTTCAACATAATGATGTCACATTGTTACCATGGCCACCAAGATCTCCCGACTTATCCGCAATTGAGCACGTGTGGGATATGATGGGTAGGAGATTGCTCAATTTGCAAGGTCCTCCTCAGACTCTAGAAGCACTTCGAGAGGAATTGGTGGTTGCCCGGAATGAGACACCACAGGAGGACATTGACCACCTGATCAGAAGCATGCCTAGGCGCGTTGGAGAATGCGTAGCACATCAGGGTGCATCCACACATTATTAAAGGTCAAAGGGCTTTAAAGCAGTGCAATCATTTTGAAATTTTTATCATTTACTTATTATGCTTCATTAAGTACTTATACAAAATTTTATTAAAATAAAACCATTTAAACTGGGTGTTCGGATTTATATGTCACTTAGTATAAGTCTATAAAGCCTAGGTGGCTGTGAAAAATAAAAGCCATCACAATTGTTTTTATTAATCACAGCTGTCAGAATACGTTTAAAATAGTTTTTGGTAGTTAAGGTTTTCAAAATGGGTAGAGGAAAGGTTATTAGTGAGAAAATTCGGTTACTGATAATTAATTTTTTTAATTCTGGGAAATCAAACTCAGAAATTGAAACTTTGTTAGACTTATCGCGGTACAGTGTGAGAAATATTGTTAGAAGATATAACGTAACTGGTTCAGTTAATATTAAGCCACGATATGTGAAAAAAGTAATATCACAAATGCCGACCGAAGAGCATTAAGAAGAATAATCGTGGCGTGCCAATTATTTACAATTAAGTGCTATGTTTAGTGACGCTGTTGGAAGGAGAATTTCGAGGTCCACAACTCATAGAGAGGCCCACGAACTGGGATTTAGCACTTGCAAGGTAAGTTTTCTTATAAAAAAAATGTAAAATAAAAACCCGAAAGTTGCACAACTTGTTTACAGGCCAAAGAAAAGCCACTATTAACTCCACTGCAAAAGAAAAATCGGCTTAGATGGGCTAAAGAACATAGACAATGAACACCTCAACAATGTTGTGCAATACAATGGAGTGATGAGGCCCGAACTTTGTGTTTTTGATAGTCGCAGTAGAGTTATTCGCAAAAAAATGAAGCACTCCATGTTGACTGTCTGAAGAGAAAAGTGAAATTTCCAGCATCCATTATCGTCTGGGGCAGTATGTCATCAGAAGGAGTAGGAAAACTTCATTTTATTGATGGAAATGTGGATACAACAAATATTTGTCAATTTTCGAAGAATCGCTTTTACCAGTGCTGGGAGAATGTTTGACATCCGGCCAAGATTTTATGTTTCAGCAAGATGGTGCAGCGTGCCATACCTCAAAAAAGGCTATAAAATGGATGGAAGAAAATAATGTACCACTTTTGGTATGGGTTTAGCTAGCAGTCCAGATCTGTCACCTATTGAAACTTTGTGGCACGAGATGAAAAAGGTTCTACGACAACATCCTGCTCGTACAATCACCGAACTGAGACAAAAGCTTCAAGAAATATGAGATTGTTTTCAAAAAATGTTTGCCAAAACTTGGTTAACACTATGCCTCAAAGAATTTCAGCCGTAATAAAAAATAAAGGTGATGTTACCCAATGGTAATCTTTCAATTGTTGCTTTGTTAACTTCGCGCATTTATTCGCCCATTGTTTATTTGTTCAGATGTTCTATTAGTTATAGGTCTAAGTGATTTCAAATATGTATTTTTTACGACTAGAGTGTATCTAAAATGGTTTTGAGAAAATAAATTGTTCTAGAAGTAATAATAGTTTCGTCATGTTTAGTTTACAAAGGCATATTTTGGTACAAATCTTGAAGTGGGCCAACTGAAATGAGAAGGGGCTCGTAGACACAGATGAAGTTTCTTCAAATTTTCTAATCACCTTTACCACATACTTATCTTTAATATTTTTGTCTGGATGTAACTCATTAAACAACCGGGCAGTAGCTCTTGCAATGCTCCCATTTTGATAATACAGTTTTAACGT